GCCTTAGCCCTTTGAGCCACAGGCGCCGAGCCCAAAAGATATATTAAGTCAGAAAACTTTCAGGATGATGTATCACCTGGCCTTAAGGAAACTATGGCCTTCCTCATCCTTAAGTGTGGCCTTTTGAATCCAAATTTTACAGAACAAATCCTTTACTTAAAAGGGGTGCTGCAGAGAAAGATGAAGTTTTCTTGCCTTTTGATGCTTAAAAAATAATGATTTTTTTTTTTTTTTTGTAGAGACAGAGCATCATTTTGTTGCCCTTGGTAGAGTGCCATGATGTCACAGCTCACAGCAACCTCCAGCTCTTGAGCTTAGGCAATTCTCTTGCCTCAGCCTCCCAAGCGGCTGGGACTACAGGTGTCTACCACAACACCTGGCTATTTTTTTGTTGCAGCTTGGCTGGGGCCAGGTTTGAACCTGTCATCCTCAGTATATGGGGCTGGAGCCCTACCCACTGAGCCACAGGCACCGCCAAAAAGAACAATGTTGAAATCAGAAGGCCACAGCTTCTTCACCTCTGCAAGAAGCAGTTTTTCTCCTGTGCTTCTACAATGGTATTTGTGTATACTACACTTGGAAGAACTGAGAAACAATTACTCAAAGGACTTTGTGTTCTGTGGTTCAGATAATCAACTTTGCTTGAGAGCACAAATGGAAAGCCACGTCTACTCTACTCAGGAAGCTGAGGTGGGAGGATTAATTAAGCCCAGTAGTTATATACCAGATGGGGCAACACAGTAAGATCCCACTTCTATTAAAAAAAAAAAGACATGCCTAGTTATAAGATCTAGTAGATCTTCTCAACATCAAGAGGCCAAAAAATTTATAACATTAGTCAAAAACACTTACAAGTGAAAAACTTCACAAAAGTCTTAATGACAGACCCTGATGTGGAATAGCTCTCTTGCTACACTTGCATCAGTGTGTGTCGATGCTGGCTACACCAATGTCAAGGGAGTACACACCCTTTTCTCTGAACTTGGACAATCTGTTCACTCACCAGCTGCAGCTGATAGAGCTGGTTCAACATCGTCATATGCTGAGGATTAATTGGCGAGGTTAATAGTGCAGGGTTGAGACCAATGTTTTTTGCTGCAAACTGCAAAAGCTGTGCTTGAACCTGTTTAACATAAAAAATATACTATTAGCCACTATGTCTCTATATGAAAATATTTACTTGTCTGTATAGTTTTTCTTTTTCTTTTTTCTTTTTTGAGACAGAGCCTCAAGCCATCACCCTAGGTAGAGTGCCATGGCATCACAGCTCACAGCAACCTCCAACTCCTGGGCGTAAGTGATTCTCTTGTTTCAGCCTCCCAAGTAGCTGGGACCACAGGCGCCCACCACAACGCTGGGCCATTTTTTGGTTGTAGATGTCATTGCTGTTTAGCAGGCCTGGGCTGGACTTGAGCCCACCAGCTCTGGTGTATGTGGCTGGCGCCTTAGCTGCTTGAATGACAGGTGCTGAGCCTGTGTAGTTTTTGAACATTCAAAACTGGTTATGTGACAACTGTATTTGTTTCATAGTGAATGTCAAAAGCCTTTAAAGTATTTATGAACATTTTAACATTAGTAGTTAACATGAAGAATAAGGAAGAAAAGAAGCAAGGAATGAAGGTTGGTCTTCAAAGAAGCTTTTCCTCCAAGTATTTTACCTTATTTATTTATTTATTTTGGATGTCTCCTTCACGTATTTTAATTATAAATTAATTTTCTAAGGTTTTGCATCATTCCTATTAGCAATTAATTTCATATTCTGCCAAAATGAAAACACCCCACCCTCTCCTGGCCTGGCCTGCTTTAAGGACTGAAGGCCATAAGGTGAGCCCGGGGAAGCAGTCTCATCCCAGGTGGCAGATGCATGCTTCCCACACAGGCTACCTGGACCAGGCCCTGTGGGAACTGTCAGTAAGCCCTTTTCAAATGTGTGTGCTCGGGAACTTGCCATGTATTACCATAGGGGCAAACACTGCCCCCAGCCTCCCTGTGGTTCTCTGCCAGACCCTGACCTGGCACTGGCTATTTTGATGTTTTCCAAAGTGTGATGTGTACCTTTACAGCGCAGGAATGTAAGATGGTCTTAGGGAGAACATGGTTGGGCATTTTTTAGTTTAATAGTTGTCTAATGCATATTAGAAAAACGCCATGGTACATTTCAAAACTATTAAGAAATGAGTATAATTGTGATGTATATGTTACTTAATTCAATGTAAACATTTAACATTGTATATTGAAGCAGTACCCTGAACCCTATAAATACATCAATGTACAAAGTTATGATTTAATGAAAAATAATTAAAAAAAAAGAAAAATGTTGATTTTTCTATTTATGGGAGATATATAAAGTTTCCTTTAAAAATAAATTTAAATTAAAAAAGCAAGTCAACTTAATAAAAAAAATGTGATAGTACAGGTAATATAAAGATACGGAAAAAACAGTGAGATAGTACGAAGATGACGGACATTTGGGACATGGTGGTTTACGTGGCTTGGGGAGATTGCTAGTTGCTCTTTCTGCCACTGCCTCTTAGATTGGGTATGGCAATGGCACTGGGTGTGGGCAGTGGGATCTGACTGGAAGTGGTCCGTGCAACCTCCAGGCCACCTGCACAAAGGTGCTGCCTAGACTTCCACTCCCCCCCAGGCCTGGAGCTGCTGCTTTCTGCACCTTTATATGAGAGAGATGAACACCTAGTGTGTTTCAACCATTGTTTTTTGTGAGGCCTCTTTGTTATAGCAGCTTACCCTATATCCTAACTAATGCATTTAACTATAATTTTAACTGTGATTTTACCAGGCTCCACCCATTTCAACTCTGTGCACAAACCTGGCGAAACAATTCTCTGTTGAAAGTTGCTCCCGGTGAACACCTTGGTATGTCTGCTCATTTCTGTGTGCTCTCGCTGCTTCTTACCATCTGCTGTGGTCTGCACGTGTGTCCCACCCAGATTCCCAAGTTGAAACCTAACCCCCAAGCTGGGGTTAGTAAGAGGTGGGGGCTTTGGGAGGTGATTAGGAGACCTCATGAATGGGATTAATGCCCTTATAAGAGAGGCCTGAGGAAGCTTGTTTGCCCCTGTGAGGACGCATATGAGCCATCACCTGTTAGCAACAGGCCTGTAGGCACTGAATCTCCTGTACACCCCAGCCTCCAGGACTGTGAGCCATAAATCCAGGCTGTTTCTAAATTACCCAGTCTGAGGTATTTTATTACAGCAGCCTGCATGGACTAAGGCACCATATCCCAATAAACTAACCTGAAACTTCATCTGAATTTTACAATCAGAAGACTGATGGATGAGCACGTTTTCTTTTGAAACAGGCTGAAAATAAGGTGCCTTAGAAATCTTAGATACCTTCCTGGTAATACAGGTCTCTTAGGGAAGAAAGTAGGTTTATTTTTCTCTGGCACTTCAAACAGCTTTTACTTTCTTGGTAGAGTGTTGGGCACATCTCTTCCCTTTTCACTATTGCTTCTCACCAGGTGGATGCCTATCATCTGACTGGGTGGCTTGAAGCCCTCCATGGAACAAGCTCTGAAAATGTTTCCTGGAGCAGGGGAATCAGTTTACTACTGCTTTGTAAGCAAACATTGCTTTACAGGTTAAAATAGATGCATGTTAATTTGGTTCTCACTTTAAAACAGTGACTTCAATGTGAGAAAGACCCCACCCGACACCTCTGCCTCTCCTTGCTCAGTGGGGCGTGGACATAGGTCTGACCTGAGGGGATAGAAACTGAGGCACTTGAGCACGGAGACTGGGCTGGGAGGAGTTAAGAGGCTGCACTGGTGGCTGTGGCGGCGGCTGCATGGTCCTGGCTTGCGCTGCTCCGCTATTGCCAAACACACTCAGATTGCCACTCGGTATCTGCGGGAGACAGAATCAGACTCATGACCAAGGAAGGTGCTGGAGTTAACACTTTGGAGGTAGGGTGCAATGATTTATTTTCCTAAAAATGAATGCAAAATTATTTTTGTTTCCTACCATTATCAAGTTATACTCAAGGACATTTTTTTTTTTTTTTTGAGATAAGGGTCTTGTTCTGTTGCCCAGACTGGTGTGCAGTGGTGCGATCATAGATCACTGTAGCCTCAAACTTCCGGGGCAAACTGATTCTCCTGTCTCAGCCTCCTGAGTGGTTAGGACTACAGATATGCACCACTCCTGGCTAACTTCTAAATTTTTTTGTAGAGACAGGGTCTCTCTATCTTGCTCAGGCTGGTCTCAAACTCCTGGCCTCAAGCAATCTTCCAGCTTCTGCCTCCCAAAGTGCTGAGATTATAGGTGTGAGCCACTGTGCCTGACCCCCGAGGCAACTTTAATGAGTGCTAGGTATATTGATTACAGATGATGAAAAATCAGCCCATGAAGCTTGCCTATGGTTTTAAATTATAGAAGCCACATGATAGTTTTAAAGTGTCCCTGAGCTGGGTGCAGTGGCTCACTCCTGTGGGAGGCTGAGGCAAGTGGATTGCTTGAGCTCACAGGCTTGAGACCAACCTAAGCTAGAGCGAGACCTCTAAAAAATAGCCGGGCATTGTGGCAGGCACCTGTAGTCCCAGCTATTTGGGAGGCGGAGGCAAAAGGATCACTTGAGCCCAAGAGTTTGAGTTTGCTGCGAGCTATGATACCACAGCAATCTACTGAGGGCGACAAAGTGAGACTCTATCTCCAAAAAAGAAAATAAATAAATAAATAAAGTGCCCCTAAACAAGGCCATACCATTCAAAGACACTATAACACTATAGTATTTTAAACAATAGCAACTTGAATATAGCTATTTGAATAATATACATTTCCAAATGGACATGTGGTTATCTTTGATAAGAGTGAAAGAGTAATACTGGGTGGGAATTACTAACCTTAGGATAGCAAAATTTTCAAATAGGAAATATGGCTATTGTGTCATCTAACCTTGAAACAGAATTCAGGTAGCTAAGTTTGTGATAAATACAATAAATATATTTTAGATATATTTTCCATTTTATGAAATGAGTTACCTAACAAATGAATGAAGTAAGACAACCTACAGACCTCTCTTAGGAAGAGCTATGTGCAAGGCACTGAGCAGACGCCCTGCTGCCCACCTGCTCCTAGTCCCTGCCTCCTCTGGGTGGTGGACTGGCAGCTGGCAGAACAACTGAGGTCTAGATTTCCCACTATGTCTATCACTGGGATCGTGGCAACTCAGGGCTGCTGGTAGACAGTGACACTGGGACACAGATGAATGTGGGTCTGTTCCACTGCCCCAAATACCACAGTGCCCACTAGGAGAGAAGTCTCAAAGGTATGTGTGTTGACCTCATCCCTAAGAAAATCAGTGAGAAGGGGTGTTGCACAGATGGGAAAGCATTATTTGCATATCATTTCATATTAGGGGATCCAGAAGAGAGAAGTGAGATGAAGCAGCAAACAAAACTTTCAGGTCCTTCCTTTTTTTTCTGTTTGAGACAGAATCTTGCTCTGTCACCCAGGCTGGAGTACAGTGGCTCCATCACAGCTCACAACAATGTCAAACTCCTGGGCTAAGGTGATCCTCCTGCCTCAGCCTCTTTAGTAGCTGGGACTACAGGTAAATGCCACCAGACCTGGTTAATTAAAAAAACAAAACCGGTGACAGGTGCCTGTAATCTCAGCTGCTTGGGAGGCTGAGGCAGGAGGATCGTTCCATCTAGGAGTTTGCCATTACAGTGGAGCCACTGCACTCCAGCCTGGATGACAGAGTGAGATCCTGTTTAAAAAAAGAAACAAAGAAAGTATTTGTTATTTTGATTTTCAGGAGAAAGGGGATGGGCACTACCAGATGTCTGAGTGGATCTGGCAATGGAAGTCTACTCTGCAATATATTATCATTTTAACTTGCAGTGAGTTGGTACTAAGAGTGCTGAGAACTAAATGTTTCAGTTAAATGTAAAAATAAATATCACTGTCAAGCATTTCCTATTTTGTGGTGAAATTTCAAACTTGTTATTCCACTCTCCACTCCACCAAATACCCTAAAGGCAGGGACACCCTTATGGCATTTCAGCTACCTTTACATGTTCGCTTATATTTTAAAATAGAGTTATTAACTAAAGATAAGAAAGTTTATGTCTTAAACACATTTTTTAAAAGGCAGGTGAAACAAAGACCACATTCTGCTCTCTTCCAACAGCCTTACCTGTCTAGAAGAATTCAAGTTTTGCATGCCCAGCCCTGAGGCAATCCCACCCAGGGCCTGATTGGGGAGTGCACTGTTTGAAAGGGGGAGCTTCAGGCTTGGGGAAGGCAAAAACGGTGAAGTCGTGGGCTCTTCCACGAGGCCGCCATCCTGATTGGAGAAAGAAAGGGTGAGCTGTGTGCAGTGTCCATCAGTGACAAAGCACCAAACAGTTTCCCAAGGAAATAGAAAAAGGTATGGATGAAAAGAATTCAAAGGTCAAAAAAGCGTGGATAAAAAGGGAATGGAGAACATGGGCAAAAGAAAGAGGGGAAAAAGAAAAAGAGAAATAGGATTAAGATGCTGTTTGCACTTAAAAAATTATTTTACAAACACATATGTTAGCTGCTAAACTCTCATGCACTATTGGCCCTGCCTTGGATAGGAGTAGGAAGAAAAGGACAAAAACACTGGCAAAAGTCTTATTTGGAAACACTTTACAACCATTTTCAAATAAACAGATTCTTTCTGAGAAGTTACTACCAAGGCTCTGGGTATACATTAGGTTGAATTCTGCTGGCATTCAGCTGTTTCTGAACTACAAACATAGCAGTTTGATATGGTTTAACCTAATAAGAGGGTAATTTATAAAACAGAAATCTTATTTTTATTTTTTACATTTATTGAGGTCATACTATGCACCAGAACTTTTGCAAAGTTATCTAATGTTATCCTAAGCCTGTGGTATTATCCCACATTTTAGAGATAAGAAAATAGGCCAGGGTCCCACACTTAGGGTTGCCAGATTTAGCATATAAAAATACAGGATGCTGAGTTACACTGGAATTTCAGATGAACAAATACTTTTTTTTTTTTGAGATGGAGCCTCAAGCTATCCCCCTAGGTAGAGTGCCATGGCATCATGCTCCCAGCAACCTCTACCTCCTGGGCTCAAGCGAGTCTCCTGCCTCAGCCTCCCAAGTAGCTGGGACTACAGGCGCCTGCCACAACGCCTGGCCATTTTTTTGGTTACAGCCATCATTGTTGTTTGGCGGGCCTGGGCTGGGGATATGAATCCGCCACCTTAGGTGTATGTGGCTGGTGCCTTAGCTGCTTGAGCCACAGGCGCCGAGCCAACAAATACTTTTTAATATAAATATATTCCCCCAATTATTTTTTGTTTGTCTGAAATTCTGATTTCTTGGGGCAGCTTGTAGCCTGCCCCCACTGAAGAGGGGCGGGAGTGTGCTGGAGCGCAGTGGTGGTGGAGGCCTCAGTTTGGGAGCTGATGAGAAGGCCCTGTGACCCTGAGACTCACTAGTGAGCCTGCCTTTTTTTTTTTTTTTTTTAACCTGTCTTTGCTTCAATTTTATATTCAAAGTTCAACATCTGGATTCAATTTAAAGTGATACTTTTCCTCCCTTTTTGTAGTCACACCAGTCTGGAGCAGGATGTAGATATGTGACAGTACTCAGGACTGCGCTGTGACTGGACCTGTCAGACACACAGGGATTCCTGCAGATGCCAGCTGGGGGCAGGAAGGCGGCCATCAGCAAGGCCCAGTCAGGAGCAGGTGCAAAAGCTCCACCACTTCTTTATTATTTTTATTTTTCACACTTCCTACTTCATGGAATAATTCTTTTCTTTGTCCTTTTTTTCTTTTTTTTGTCGCCTTTAGTAGAATGCCATGGTGTCATAGCTCACAGCAATCTCAAACTCTTTGGTTTAAGAGATTCTCTTGTCTCAGCCTCTGGAGTAGCTGGGACTATAGGCACCTGCCACAATGCCCAGTTATTTTTAGGGATGGGGTCTTGCTCTTGCTCACTGGAATTTGTGAGTTTAGGCTATCCACCCACCCTGGTCTCCCAGAGCGTTAGGATTACAGGCTTGAGCCACCGCGCCTGGCCCTTCCTTTTTTTTTTAAAAATAGAGAAGGGGTCTTGCTATATTGTCCAGGCTGGTCTAGAACTTCTGGGCTCAAGTGATCCTCCCACCTTGGCCTCCCAAAGCACTGAGATTACAGGTGTGTCACTATGCCTAGGCCTCACCACTTTTTCTGAAATTAAACATGTAACACATCATTTCCAAATGGAAAAACTGTGTTCTGAAGATGAGACAGTAACATAGAAATCTGATGACCCTTGTCTATTGGGCAAATTGAAACAGATATCCAGTCAATTTCAGTCTTTTTCACTCCTAGTAACATTGTATGAAATCCAACATTTCTGTCTTTTGAGTTAAACATTCATATATATCAGAAAAAATGAACAAAAGTCACTTAAGTATTATAGCCCAGCAAGTTATTAATCTGGTTTACAGGACACAGTAAAATGAAAAACACTTGTTAAAAAGGCAAACAAAAAGCCACCTAGATTGATACCTTGTCAAGAAAGGTGGGGCGGTCCATGGAAGACTCTTTGGAGATCGGTGGGCGGCAGCCGAGGGGTTTGGTGACCATCCCGTTGTAGTCAGTCACTCCCAGGCCACGCTTGTCCACGTCCACCTTCTTTTCCAGCAGAGCACCTGGAGCACAACAAATAGAAACCATGTTGAAGGCAGACCACCAGCCTGCATTAGTCAGGAGCGCTGAGCACAAGACAGGCTCCAGCCAAAGCCTCAGGGAAGGACGAGGACCCCCTCACCCCTTAGTAAACAGTGAGGCCGAGGGGACAGCAAGAGCACTTGGCTCCACTATGGCAGAGCCCTAACAGGTGGCACCTCTTCTGCCCTTACATGCCTGTGGTCTGGCCTTGTCCGCCCTCTGTCCCTCTCCACTCCAGACCACCAGGGCCCCTTTCTTAGAGAGCTTCCCCTGATTACTGTGTCTGCAACAGCAGGGTACCTCTGTGCTCAGAGTCCCTGTTACTGCAAGGGCTCCAGGGGTAACACTGTGCAAGACAGACAGCTTCTGTCCTCAGGGCTCTTATGGCTTAGTGATGAGTATCTGTTCAGCCCACTTTTTTTTTTTTTTTTTTGAGATAAGAGTCTCACTATGTTACCCTTGGTAGAGTGCTATGGTGTCACAGCTCACAGCAACCTCTAACTCTTGAGCTTAAGTGATTCTCTTGCCTCAGCCTCCCCAGTAGCTGGACTATAGGTACCTGCCACAATGCTGGCTATTTTTTGGTCGCAGCTGTCATTGTTTTTTAGCAGGCCCGGGCAGGGTTTGAACAGGCCAGCCTTGGTATATGTGGCTGGAGCCGTAACCACTGTGCTACGGGCATCGAGACTGTTTAGCCCACTTTAACTATGTACTATTTCAGAGTTGAAGAAGTTGGAATTCACGTCTTCCAGCTCCCTCTGATTTCCTGCCCTGGCAGCATGTACCATACACTTTGGCACTCTCACGTGATTGTACAGTTTACCCTCATTATCCATGGATTCTGTACTTGTAAATTCATCTATTTGCTAAAATTTATGTGTAATCCCCAAATCAGTAATTGTGGCACTTTTGTGGACAAGGGCAGATAGTCAAAAAATGTGAATCCTGGCTCGGCACCTATAGCTCAACCAGCTAAGGCGCCAGCCATGTACACCTAAGGTGGCGGGTCCGAATCCCCAGCCCGGACCCGCCAAACAACAATGACTGCAACCGAAAAATAGCCGGGCGTTGTGGTGGGCGCCTGTGGTCCCAGCTACTTGGGAGGTGGAGGTAGGAGACTCGCTTGAGCCTGGGAGTTGGAGGTTGCTGTGAGCTGTAATGCCATGGCACTCTACCCGGGGGATAGCTTGAGGCTCTGTCTCAAAAAAAAAAAAAATGTGAATCCTGTTCTCAGCTCAGGTCTTGTTTCAGATCTCACACTGTAAAGACTCTTTTTAGTGATTTATTTAGTGCTACATTTTTTTCTATTTTTCTACTTCTTGGTGATTTCATTGTTTAAAATGGTCCCCCAGCGTAATGCTGAAGTGGTGTCTAGCATTTCTAAGCCTAAGAAGGCTGTGAGGTGCTTTGTTATACAAGTTTCGTTTGGGCATGAGTAAATCGCTTCTGCCTTGAGTTCAATGTTAGTGAATCAATGATACAGTATATCCAGAAAAAGGAAGCCAGAAATTCACTGACCCATATGTGAGGCTGCTCAGAAAGTGCTAGAATAACATCTGTAGTATGAGATAAAGCTACAGAAAAGAGGCCAAAAAAAATTTTTTTTTTTTTTTTTTTGGAGACAGAGTCTCAAGCTGTGGCCCTGGGGAGAGTGCCATGGCGTCACAGATCACAGCAATCTCCAACTCTTGGGCTTAAGCGATTCTCTTGCCTTAGCCTCCAAAGAAGCTGGGACTATAGGCACCCATACAACACC